TTAATGTATAATAATGAAATGGTAGCCCCGAATGCGCGGGGGAAAAGGGATTGCTTACATGACATCCCTTACTGGTGCCTTGCCTTCGTATATCGTTAGCGCAGGCAAAGTTGTCATTCCATTATCGTCCATTAAAAAAATCTCTGAATGCGCTATTGGTATACGCTGCAGGACACCAGTTAGGGATGATAGGTGAGAATAAAAAGGCAGATCAATTAATTTATCGTAATGAGTACACGTGGAATTTAGCACGATAGTTTCCATAGGAGACCATATGAAGGTCGCTCTGATGGGGTATATTGCTAGCAATGGGACTAGTAGTCCACATTACTAACAATCCCTTCCCCCACTATTTTATAGTTAGACCAATCAATCATTTGTAGACATATTTATTAAGTTCTGTTGAAACAAACTACATCTGTACTCGCAACTTCGCGTCACGGGAACATATTTATTGAATGGGATATATAACGTATGACCTTCTTCACACAAGTTACTACGTATGTATTAAATTTCATGACTTTAATACATACGTAATAACTTGTGTGTACTTGTATTGGTGGAGCCGTTGAGGCATCGTGAGATAACAAAGAAACTTACGAAGACGAGGTTTGTGAATAGTTAACAAATTCTTTGAGTTCCTCGGAGGCAATTATTTGGAAGAAAGCCATATTATATATGCCTTTCCGATATAGAATCTTGAAAAGTATGCTGTACCTATGTTGATGTAATTGTTTTGTTGTTTACGAACTATTTACTAATTGCTAGAATTCATTGTACAACAAATAAGCTACTCGCCATCCCGAGTTGATGTAGTTTCTGAGAATTTAATTAACGTAATGAGATCGAAAGACTTTATATGCTGACATGAAATCACACCTAATTAAATCTTTGTGTTAGTTAAACACACACAATTATACTTAAATATATGTAAATGATTTAATTTGGTTTCTACATAGATACGATGTTATAAGACGGATGTTTAATTCACAATTAATTTGGTGATATTATTTTTGATTTAGCTTGAAAATCTAAAATAAATAAATAAATAATTCATTCATCATCATCACTGTCATATCAGCTTTTAACTATCCACTGCTGAACATACCAATTATGGAGAGATTTTCCAGTAGTTGCCATGCTTGGCACGCGGGTTAACAACTGCAGTTAGACGTTTGGTGATGTTTTAAGAGAGACGCCCCTGCTCAACCCTTGATCATTAAGTTCTCTTAGTCGTCTCTTACGAGACCAAAGAGAGGAAAGGGTGGCTTATTCTATGTTGGTACTACACAGCGAATCTAAATCATTAATATGCTTTTTGTTCAATTTTTTAAATGCAGGTAACTCGAGATCGTTCCTTTTGGCAGTCTTGAAGGAGACCTATGTTTAGCAGTGGAAAGTCTGTAAATTTTGCGCACTAAAATTAAGAAATAATTTTGATACTACGACTATATTTCTCGGTAAAAAATATATAGAAAAAGAAAAAATTGGGATAAAATTATTCTCCACTTCATTTGTGTTTTATAAAAAAAAAATATGGCGTGGTTGCTTGGCTCCATTTATTAATTAAAACAAGAAACAGATTAAAAATAATGAGCTCTCCACCTACGCTGACGATCATAAAACGGATTCGATTTAATTTTAATTAACTACATAAATATAGAGTGAAAAGAATCCAATAAGTCAAGTAACCAGACAGTAGTTCTAATTATTTTGTAATAGTACGTTGACCCACTTCGTTAAAACCAACCTACCAACCAACTGACACAATAAAGTTTTTTTTTTTTTTAATAAGTGAAAATGGAATGATATCCCCGCCTGCGCTATTGGTATACACTGACAGGGTACCAGTGAGGGATGATAGGTGAGAATGAAAGCAGGTCAGTTGGCCTATCGTAATAAATTCCAAAATTAACCTTTATGGTTCCCCAGCGGGAATGACATGAAGGCTAGTGAAGGAGCTTTTAAACCTCATTATTAACAATCTCTTTCCCTCTAACATAATAAAGTTGGACCAAAATTCAGTCGAGATATTAATATAATGTATATAATATTGTTTTGTAGGCGACTAAAAGAACTTAACAGTCGAGAGATGGACAGCAGCGCCCCTCTTAAAACATCACGAAAACCAAGTGGGAGGTTCAGCAGTGGACAGTTAACATCTAGGTTATAGAATGAACTCCCGTCTTTAGTTTCCCCCTGACAATATAATATGGAGTATTTCAAAAAACGTGCCTGCAAATATTTAAAAAAGGCCGGCAACGCACAAGCAACTCCAACAAGCAACAGCAGGTGTTTAACCTGCAACACGACAGGAGTTGCTTAGGCGATGGTAGCCGCTTTCCATCAGGTGGATCGTCTGCTCGTTTGCCTCTCTAACAATAAAAAAAGAAGAAAAAAATATTTTGTGAACTCGTGATCTATAAATATCGCAGAGACGTAGATAAAGTTATTTATTTATTTAATAATTTATTGTACACACTAATTATACATACAAGTTACGGTTCATCATCACTGTCCATTGCTGAATTATAAGCCTTCCCTATGAGGGGAGTTTTGCCAGTAGTCGCCACACTTGGCAGGCGGGTTGGCAACTGCAGTTGACGTTTGGTGATATTTTAAGAAGGACGTTGCCACCCGTCTCTCGATCATTGACCATTTCCTTAATCGGCTCTTACGACATCAACGAGAAAGGAAGGTGTGACTCATTCTATAACGGGATTTACACAGCAAAGTTACTATTAAAAGCTAGTTATTAATAATATTATATTTAAAGTATTATAGTACAATAAGTACAGGATACCTAATAATATCTTATAATTACTAGTTGTGTGAATACAAATTAACACTTTATTTTCCAAAATTATATTGTATTGAAATAACATTTTCTCTAGCGATAGGACCGCCTCTTAAACCTTTATGTATATATTTCAATCTGTATTTATGTTATTGTCTTTCACTTGAAATATTCAATTATCATTGTATATTTTTGTTTCTGGTGCAATAAAGAGTTAAATAAATAAATAATACATTTTCCTAGAATATACACTTATAATAAGCTTGTATAATGGACTGTGTTTAGAGTAATTGTTCAATATGCTACCCACAGCCGCTTTCTACTATCGTACAGCTTACTAACGACAGGGAGTTTACACCCATACCTTAGAGCCTGGATGGTCACATACAGCGCGGTTTCATAGATGTTTCCTTTCATAAACGCTCAAGTTTATTTAATTTTTAATATTTTTTATTTATTTTAGATAACTTGGATCCCTTTTTGTTAGTAACTTAAAAAAACTATGTTAATACTTAATCACTAATAAAAGTTATGAAATGAGCTCCCTGTTGAGGTTTATCCAAGAGACTACAGCATAAAGTTCTTCAAAAAAGGGGTAAAGAGATTTTTTTCTTTACCCCTTAAGAGTGGATTGGTTTGTTTGTTACCTTTTGTCGCCTGAACGGCTGAACCAGTCTTCGTGAAATTTGATATAAATGTTCTGTTTGAGATGATGATGGGCATAACCTACTACTGATCTCGGTCAATCAATACAGCCTGGTCACGCGGACGATGGCGCGGGTAAAAGCTAGTTCATGTAATAAATACGTTTCATGGATGAATGCATGTTTATTACTCTTTCACACAAAAACTAATAAACGGATTTAATTGAAATTTGGTATATGAATAGGTCATATTCTAACTTAGCATATAGAATATATTATATGTTGATTCCGAAGGCAAAGTCGCAGGATACAGCTAAATAATATTTGTAGCAACGTTCCAAATTCAACATAGTTCGTAAATTTGAATGATGCAATGCGGACTATTTATAAAATGCGTATAGCATTACTCCCTCTGCAATATACAGTACGTACATGCTCTGTGTACAGGAGTAAGTATAAAGTAAGTCAGTTGTTCAAGTGTCATAAGAATTAAAAAATATCTTTATGGTGATGGCGTAAGTATCATAATCCAATACTCTTTACTACTAGTAAGTTGTAAGTTAGTAAACTCTATTGTAAATTTAAACGCAAAAATTCATGAGGATGGATATTTGTTACTCTTTCACACAAAAAGTACTGAACGGAATTGATTAAAATTAAGTACACTGACGGGTTATTTTCTATCTTAGGATATTAGATATTTTATATTTTGATTTATGTGGACGAAACCGCGGGATACAGCTAGTGTTATCTACCTACCCCAATGAGAAATGAACGTGACAAATATGTACGTAAGCATGTAAATTGATAGTTACTCTTTATTGTTTCCTCCATACTTCCTATTAAATATATATATATATATATATATATATATATATATATATATATATATATATATATATATATATATATATATATATAAGTAAATGTGAAAGTTAGTTTGTAATATCTTCGCATTTCACCGGGTCAATCAAACATCAATATAGTATAATTTGTCGTGTGGTCCCCGTATAGAACGGGCCACCCTTCCTTTCCCGGGTATCGTAATAGGCAACTAAGGAAACTAAATGGTTCAGGGATGGGCTAATGTTGGTGATGAATTCTTAAAACATTACCAAAGCCTAACTGCGGCTGCCAACCCGCCTGCCAAACTAACTAACCTACTAATAACTAACTACTGGCAAAACCTCCCTTTATGGGGAAAGCCTATGTTCAGCATTAAACAGTTAATGGCTGACATGATGGTATAATTAATGACATATTGTCTTTTACTCTATTACCGTATGGATACTTCGATAATTCATTTCATCAAACGAAAATTATAACAAAACAATAACAAACTGCGAAAGGTCTGTGAATGTTTTTGTATTCTAGATACGAAATCTTTAAAGTGACTTGACTGAAATGAAAAGCAAACATTGTCTCAGAGCATATAAAATAATTTATTTATATAATGGATCTCTAATAAAACAAAATATTACAAAAATAAAACATAAGTACAAATTGAAAATAGTAACGCTACGAGATTTCTACGGCAGTGCTACGCTGTAGTTCGTCGTAGCCGCACGTCGCGCATTTCCAGACTCGTACTACGTTACGATCTTGTATACGTACTTTACGTTCGGTAATTATAATTTCAAAATAAGAATATCGAAAACAAAAAAGCAGAATTAATTTTTATTTTTGTTTTTTAAATAAAACAATAAACAAATGCTCCAGTGAAGTTTTACAGTTTGTTGTCCATTATTATTTATTATGGGATGGTAATTATAATTTTGTGACACGAATAAAATGAATGTAGAATTATTGAATTTACTAAAATATGAAGCAAAGACCGCACCGAATATTAAAAGTAAGTGGCAATTTTATTTATATATTAAATTCTTTTATAGAGTTAAACAGTTTTTAATAATATTATGCAATAATTTTTTTTAAAGAATTGATAAGTTTAGAATTTGATACAATAACATAATGTAATTGTTCGTATCTATAATAAGTTTATTATTGTAATCTTTTAGAAGAAACTATAAAGAGTATTTATCTATTTATAGAGCAACAGGATATAGAGATGATTTATTTCGAATTCTGTAATGATCAAATCTTTTTAATTTGTCTAAAGTAAATTATGTACAATAAAGATTTTACAATACAATACTTAACCATATGTGATAAATATACCAACTATCATTATATAACTATTAGAGTTCCTGATTAAAAAATATGTATTTTCAAACTTCAAAAAGAACGAGGCTCTTCATTCGGTTGGATTATTTTTACATTTGTAAGATTTGGAAACTTATTTTTTATCTAAAAATATATTCTTTCAAATTAGTTCTGTTGAAATTTTATTAAAATCAATTTAGTAGTTTACTTTATAAATCAATATAACTTATTTTGCCATGATATAAATAGCTTTTTGTGTGGAATAAAATCTGAAATTATACTAATATCATATCCAATGAATAAAATATGAAGAAATAATATATAATTTAACATACTCGTAATTTATAGGACAGAACTTTTGATTACTGTAGAAATAAAAACCTAAAAGAAACTAAATAACTTAATGTCAGTAGCCATGACAAATGACCAAGTAAGCTGGTAACAACGAATAATTTGACATTATCAGATAATGGTTATTTATTAAAGAAACAAAACAAAAGTTATAAGATAAAGAAAAAATGTCAATTATTAACAGTTTACTTATTTATTCTTTATTAACTCTATTTATCTATATCATTTATATTTATTCGTTTAATATTGTTTTGTTTTTATAGTAAACAAATTATATAATAGATAATAATAAGATAATTTATTTTATTTAAACAAAAAGACTCGTAATATCTAAGCTCAATTGTGAATGGTGTTTATTTGCAATACTCTATGTTTTATTTAATTAATTACGCCTATGTTTTAAATTGAACACTCAATTTTACATAATGGCGAACTTATTCTGAGGTAAATTTTCAATCACGTTGATTTAAAATTATAATAGATTTAAGTCGAAACTACGTAACTTAAAAAAAATCTTACATTATTCTTAACCATTTATCTTAATACCTTTTTATCGCATTTCATTAAATCAGTCTTTAACTGTCTACTACTGGGAGGAAGGGATTATTAGTAATGGGAAGGTTAGTCCCCATTGCTATCAATATGCCCTATCAAGTCGACCTCCATGCAGTTCCCCCTGAAAACTATCGTGGTTAATTCTAGTGAAATTCGTTGCGATAGGCTAACACACCTGCTTTTATCCACACCCAAGAGTATCATCTTTCACTGGTGCCCCGTGAGCGTATAACGTTAGCGCAAGCGGGATTACCATTCCATTATCACCTATAAAAAAAAAGCTCTCTCATGCGGGGTGGGAGGGCGGTTGCCAGTAGTTGCCGTATTTGACAGGCGGGTTGGGAACTGCAGTTATGCCTTGGTGGTGTTTTGACTGCTACCTATTTTCTCTATCTTCAAGTTCACTTAGTCGCCTCATATGAAACCCAACGGAAAGAACGGGAAGTCACATTCTATGCCGGAACCACACGACATGGAATAATATATATCTATACTAATATAATAAAGCAGAAGAAATTGTTTGTTTGACTGTTTGAACGTGCTATTGTATGGAACTAGCAGTCTAATTCGAAAAATTATTTTTACATTTGATATATTATTTCTTTAGGAACAAAGAGCAAAGCTACGGGATAAGATAGTACAATAATAAACTTAATAGTAACGTAAATTCTCTCTGAATTTGACTTTATATTTATGTGTTTTCCAAAAATATTGTCAACTCCTAGTAATTCAGTTTTCAATTCAAGTAGGTTATCATTTCGTTTGCTATTTTTTGTGGTTATGTAAACCGATTCCTTCGTTAATTTTGATAATTATTTTAACGATTGATATCATTTATTTCCGAGTTGGTTTTATAATAATTTCGTGACCACTGAAGATGCCGTTCTACTTTTTAAAGCAAACAACTGTCTTTTGTTTGGAAAGCAAAATCTAATTTTTTTCGGATCGGATTCGTATGTTATAGACATACGAATCCGCGTTCTAAATTCAAAAATATTTCACGTCTCGATTGTAATTGGTTCTAATACTAATTTCAGTAAACTGTATGTATTATATATATCATAATATATTTTAGAGGCTACTTATAAAAGAAATGTCAAACCGGACCATAAATATATTGTTTTTTTTTTATTTTCTTCTCATCTTTTTACATGGATGGGTTAGACAATGGTCGTTTGACCGTACAACCGAGTCATTGATAGTTTCTGAACCGAATCTATGATAAAAGTCTAAGAGACATCTTCAGTAGCATATTTTTAGAATAATTACAGTAAATATTGGTACCTACAAATAATCATGACCGTCATGACCGTGATAGAATGTTATATTTCATAGCAATTCGGTTAACTGTATTTTAATAACTCCATAAAGCTTTTAATGGTACATTGGTAATATTGGAGGTATTTGAGTCATGCAATGTTTTATCACGACCAAATAGTATTAAGTAATAGATATTTTAATTGATAACTATAGTTTATTAAATATTTGCAGTTACAATTCAAAAGGCTTTAGTATTATTTCTCTATCAGGCAAGTGGATTTATAATTTATTTATTGATTTCTTTTATCAACTGAATGAGCATTACAATTTCTTAATATGCTTACTCAGGAAAGCTTTAGTTTTTTTTTTTTTTTTTTATATAAAACTTAGAATGGCAAACAAGCTGACGGCATATAGACATGAGCAGTACCAACACATGTATAAATAAATGGAATAATATAATCAAACCGAAACACAGCCATGCAAACACAACTGCTTCACGGTTATTTATACTGGAATAAATAAATGGAATAATATAATTCCTTTTATTTATACATATGTATAATATTTATACACTATTATTTATACATTAATTAGATTTAAATTAGAACAAGACAATTAGAATAAATTAGAAAATAACGTCCATATCTTTGAACACAAACAATCTGTGGTGATCCGACCAAACTCTAGCATAATACTGAACTCTTTGCTGATATAATAAATGCGACAGCGAGATTGTTTATTTGTTATCTCTGGGCGTCTAAACTAGGGGTGAGTAATATATAGTAATATCTATATATTTTAGTTACACAATCTAAATATTGGTCCAATAAGGAATATGTTAAAAGTCTGTTATCCAAAAACTAATATTGGACAAAAAAATTTCAACATATTCGAAAATAGATATTGGACCGACGATATGGACGATATCGAAATAGGTGATAAACTTTTTTCCACCATCAATGTCCTGAGGAATTCAATATATAGATCGGTATCGATTATCGATCGGTATTGAGGAATTCAATATATAGGTCGGGAATCGGTATCCATATAACCCATACCTAGTCTTAACAGTATGGCTAATTGTCATGAAATTTTGATATATACATAGTATTAAGGTAGGACATAGACTATACATAGACTATATAGTCTAAGATCTCGACGCAGATTTTTTTTTTCAAATATAAAACAATATAATGAAACTCAGCAACCCTAGTATGGAGTAACTGAGAGCAGGCAACCCGGATGTATTGTATTATATTTTCGCTTATCTCTCATTGATACCAGAGGGAGGAATTCCACCAGAGGGAGACTTTGTACAAAAGTCGTTTGCTTGGATACTCGTACCTCTGTCCCATTCGTGTTTATGTCGAGTAGTTGTGTTTGGATGTGTTTCGATTTGAAGGGTGGAATATAGCTGTGAAATTACAGGGCATAGAGTATTAGTACGGACATATTTGAGTATAACATGAGTATAAAAATTTCAAGCAGACATTTATCTACAAACATATATAGAAGTGGTTTTTTTAAATCAATAAATTTTACTACAAGTCGTTATAGAAAGATTGGAACAATAATATAGGTAATCTCTTTTTCATATGACTCTAAGCAATAATCATAAATGACCGATCCCTGTCGTAGATCTAAAATATAGTCGATACAGGTGACGAATAACTTACGTATTTTACTACGGAATATAGGATCACACTCATATTTTCATTTTAAATTATATATTTATCAGTTTACTAGTTTTTACCCGCAACTTTGTCCGCGTGTCTGGAATATATTCAACGATCAGGATAAAAAGCAGATGAGTATATATTCAACGATCAGTTGTGTTTGCATGAAAATGGCGTGAATTTACTGGGTACAGAGGAATCCAGGAATCTTATATAGCTTTTATGTCCATAGATTTATAACAGTTAACTGTCCATAGATATAAAAAAACATATATTTTATAGTAACTAGTTAAGATTTTACGATATTAAAATAATAAACAAACAAACTCACTTTTAAATTTATAATACTTTTAAGGGTAAGAAATGAATTTACTTATTTATTAATTTACTTTTAATTATTAAATTTTATGAAAATAAATTTTAAATCAATATGTGTTGTTAGTAATAATTTATGGAATTAAGAAATGTTCTTATACTACTATGGTCATTTTCTGTTTAACATCTTTATATACTTTCACACTTATAATATCAATACCTAGGATACACGAATTGCAAATGACTAGTAACTGATGAAAAAATATAGGATATTGAAGTGTAACGGAATGATTGATGAGTCAACGATGTATGCGTTGTTTGGAACGCGAGGTACGAGAACATAGATTAAGAATACTATTTTAAACGTAGAAAGAGAATACCATTCTTAGTCTATGATTAAAAATAGCACCTGATGTAGGTGAATTCGAATTTTAGATGCGAAGTAAATGGTTTTTATTGTAAGTAGATAGTAACTAGCTGTATTTTTAATGTGATGCTGATGGGTTTTTCTTACAGTAACTAGATGTAT